AAAGGTTAAAGTTGCAATGAGTTACTAAGAAAAATTATAAAATCGTACCTTCTCCAATGGGTCTCTTCCGCTCAATCTTTTTGCCCTTCTTTGCAGCCAACTCCTTAGCCTTTCTTACTGCAACCTCTTCTAGCAACTCTAGCGTCTGCTTTCCTGCCGGCTCCACCCCAGGACCAAGTGGGTTAATGAGCATATCAACCAGGCCAATCTTCTTCGCCTTTGACGCTCTAACGTTCTTTCCCGTGAGCATCATCTGCAGGGCATCAGGCACATTGATCAGTCTTGGCAGGCGATTGACGCCACCTGCAGCCGGCAACAGGCCCAGCATCACCTCGGGAAGCGCCATCACAGTGCTCCGATCGTTGACGGCAATTCGGTAGTGCGAGGCGAGGGCCAGCTCCAGTCCTCCGCCCATTGCCGTGCCCTTTATGGCGGCCACCACAGGGACGGTGCTCTTCTCGATGCTCTCCAACATTCGCTGAGCCTCGCGGGAGAAGGATTCCCCCGTCTGAACTGAGGTGATCTCCTTGAGCATGTTTATGTCGGCGCCGGCAATAAAGCAGTCCTCCTTTCCCGAGATGATCACCACGCCTTTGATGGCCCTGCCGNGGCGGCCACCACAGGGACGGTGCTCTTCTCGATGCTCTCCAACATTCGCTGAGCCTCGCGGGAGAAGGATTCCCCCGTCTGAACTGAGGTGATCTCCTTGAGCATGTTTATGTCGGCGCCGGCAATAAAGCAGTCCTCCTTTCCCGAGATGATCACCACGCCTTTGATGGCCCTGCCGATGGCACTGCTGGGCTCGAGCAGCTCGGCAAAGACTGCCCTTGCGTCTGCCTCAACATTGGGAGTGAATGCGTTCACCTTGGAGGTAGGATCATTGAAGCGAACCACGGCAATGTCTTCCTTGATTTCATAGTCCACAAACTTGCGTTCTGCAAATTAATAAACACTTTGAAAAGTTTTGATTTTGGCAAAAACAGTTTTGTTTACATTTTGTTATATGTACAAATGTACTCAAATACTTTGTTTGTCGTTGAAACAAAATCTAGCATTACTAAAAAATATGTACACAAGGACATTTTCTAACATATTTTTTCACAACAAAAACTAATAACTTTTTCTTTTAACACTTTACAATAAAATTCATTTGAGAATTATAAACTTACTGTCAGTTGAAGCAAACCTTGTTGCTGTTTGAAAAGTAGAACCGGTTAAGTTGGACCATCGGATGTACCGAGAAGTGACTAAACTAGCAGCTCGAAAAGTAAAAGTATTTTGCATTATGTTTGTGAAAATCAAAATTACACAAAATAACAAATGACAAGCTTTTCAAAATAACAAATCACAAAATAAAAATGGCCATATTAATATGGCATAAACAACATTTGCCAGTGCAGACGATAAATGATAAACAAGCTAGCTAGCTGTGATTATCACTCAAGTTTTGTGGTAGCACCAGAGAAATACAGGGAAGTAAATGTACACCACAGTGCCACTACTTTTTTCATTTTAATCAAAATTTTTTGTACTTCACAATTCACATGTGAAACAGTTAGAAATCATTAACCTGCACCACAACTTTGCCTGAATTTTTACCCGAATGCAGCCACTCTTCAGCTCGCACCGTCTGCTTGAGACCGGTAAACTTTCCCCCAGGGCTGTTCTCTCCCAAATCGACCTTGGCACTCAACTCGCCCTTAGCAATCATGCCAATCAGCTTGCCCAGGTACTCCTTGTAATCGGAAGTGTAGTTGGTCATCATGAAACCATTCAGCGATTTAGAGCTCATCAGCAGCTTGGCATTCAGCTTGGAAATGGGCACATCGAAGTTGCCATCACCAGTGTAAGTGGTGGTGCTGCCAATGATCACCATTCGACCTTTGACGGCAAGGTGACGGAAAAGAGTGGCAAACACTTCGCCGCCAATCGTTTCCCAAATCACGTCAACTCCAGACTGAAACAATAGGTGGGATTAACAGATCCGTGTCTTGAAACAAAGGTTGCAAAACTCACAGGAAACTTCTCTTTCAGCACTTGATCCAAGTTTTCCTTCTTATAGTTGATCACCTCATCGGCACCTAAGTCCTTGACAAACTGTGCCTTCTCCTCACTTGAGGTAGTTCCAATAACATAGCATCCCCTCTTCTTTGCCCACTGTACGGCAATCTGACCAGTGCCACCGGCGGCGGCGGTGATCAACACTTTATCGCCTGGCTGAATTCGACCAGCCTTGTCCAGGGCGATGCTTGCAGTTAACCCTGAAAGGTATACAAGTTAGAGAAAGCAGTGTAAAACACTTTCATTACCGTTCACATAGGAAACTATGTAGTTTGGTTTCACTTCTGGAAGAGGTACTAGCGTTTTCAGAGGTTTGTAAAGGTACTCGGCAAAACCCTGAGGTTTGGAGTCTGCAATCAAAACTGGTTGACCGACCTTCAAGTTGGTTGTCACATTACTTCCAATGGCGTCAATCACACCCAAAGCCTAAAAATAAATTGTTTTGTATTTTGTGAATCTCGAAATTCAATAACATGCTTACTTCCATGCCCAAATCATACGGACATTTTCCATCAGTAAAGTACCGAGCACTGGTAACATTCACATCGCTGTTAAATAAACAAAAAAGTTATCAATAAAAATTATAAGAAAACACTTGTAATTTACCTGGCTGATTTAAAAATTTTGAAGAAACATAACCTTGTTTTAGTTAGCATGTAAAAACTAGCAGCCCAGATACATACCGTTTACACCGGCGTAAACATTTTTGACGCGAACTTCGTCGGCATTTGGCGGGTTCAGCGGAACTTCCACCAGCTTGACAGCTTCCCGAAAGGAAGGTGTAATTTTAACAACTTGAAGCTTGCGAAATACTTTACTGGCCATTGCTACGCAATTCAATCTGAGAACAGAAGCAAACTAGTAAATGGTAGTCTTTTATATCAATAAAAAGGAACGTGATGTACCTAAAAAGAGCGATAAGTTGTTTTGCATAGGTACAAATTTAGATCTTCATGATCTCTAAAGTTTTGGCACAGTTCTGATTTTTGTTCATTCTTNATAAAAATTATAAGAAAACACTTGTAATTTACCTGGCTGATTTAAAAATTTTGAAGAAACATAACCTTGTTTTAGTTAGCATGTAAAAACTAGCAGCCCAGATACATACCGTTTACACCGGCGTAAACATTTTTGACGCGAACTTCGTCGGCATTTGGCGGGTTCAGCGGAACTTCCACCAGCTTGACAGCTTCCCGAAAGGAAGGTGTAATTTTAACAACTTGAAGCTTGCGAAAAACTTTACTGGCCATNATGATCTCTAAAGTTTTGGCACAGTTCTGATTTTTGTTCATTCTCTAATCAAATCATTTTGGTCTCTGGAGCAAAATTATAATAATCACTTGACTAGATTACAGAGAAAAAAAGTCTCGCTATAATAAACCCAAAACATAAATCTCATTTCAAAAGAGCGTCTGTTTCTACCTAGAATTAAAGTCACTCCGCACCTGTTTGATTGTTTTGTGTATTCTCACTGCCGAATTACTTTTATCCAAAATATTGTTTTTTCAAGTTTACCTGTTTTGCAAAAATGCGGCGTTTGCAAGTACCTTACAATCTGACTTCAAGTAACTTTACATCTAAAGACGTGCCAAGTTTATGACAAGACTAGAGAAGATAATGACTTGAGCGCTCAGTCTTGCTTGAACTTTGAGTGCAAACTGTTTACATCCAACTTTCAGTTGATGGACTCTTTGGTTTGCTTGTCATTGCCACAGTAAACAACAGTTGACAATTAACTCTGAGAAAGATGGCCAGCCAGGTCTTTCGAAAGCTCCAAGTTCACAAAATATCAAGTGTTTTTCGGCAAGCAACCAAGATTGTTGAAGTTCCCTTGGTTCCACCAAAAACCGATGAAATTCGCATCAAGAATATTTACGCTGGTGTAAATGGTAATGTATCAGTTCAGAATATAAATACTTTGAATACATTTTTTTATTTATTTCTACAGCTACTGACATCAACATAACTAGTGCTCGGTACCAGGTTGATGGCAAAGTGCCGTACGACATCGGCATGGAGGTAAAAATTCTTTATTGATTCTGAACAAAAAAGTATATTTTGTGCTTTTTATAGGGATTGGGAATAGTTGATTCCATTGGCTCTGCAGTTTCCGGCTCTCTCAAAGTTGGTCAACCAGTCCTGGTAGTTGACCCGATTCACAATATGTTTTCGGAGTACCTGTACAAAGACCCTGCCTCACTAGTTCCACTGCCTGCGCTCAAGCCAAACTTCCTGGTGGCCAATGTAAATGGCCTAACAGGCTCGATAGGCCTTGACAAAGCTGGCCGAGTGCAGAAGGGTGAAACCGTTCTAATCACCGCCGCAGCCGGCGGCACTGGTCAGATCGCCGTACAGTGGGCAAAACATAGAGGATGCCATGTGATTGGACTGACGTCCACAGAGGAGAAGGCCAGATTTATTAAAGAGCTAGGTGCCGATGAGGTGATCAACTACAAAAAGGAGAACTTGGATCAGGTGCTGAAGGAGAAGTTTCCTGTGAGTATTTTTTAATTATGTTTCAAGCACAGTTTATTTATTTATCCCTCTTGTTTTTAGTCGGGAATCGACGTGGTTTGGGAGACTATGGGAGGAGATACCTTCAAAGTTCTTCTAAAGAACCTTTCTGTGAAAGGTCGAGTGGTGATCATTGGCAGCACCACCACCTATCAAGGGGAAGGCTTTGCCGATGTGCCCATTCCCAAGCTGAATGCCAAGTTGCTGATGAAATCGCAGCAGCTTTGTGGTTTTGGCGTCTTTCATTGGTGGTCCGACTTTGATGAATACCTTCCGCAGCTGATTGACATGATTAGCAAGGATAAACTGATTGCCAGGGTGGACTGTGGGGACACTAGCCCGGGGGGAAAGTTTATCGGCATCGAGCAGATGGCCAGTGCTCAAGAGTGGCTACATGAGGGTAAAAACCAAGGAAAAGTTGTGGTTCAACTGCATGATTTGTAAGCTGATGTTGCAACACAATGATTTGTTTTTATGATTAAGAACTCAGTTCCAATTTTATTAGTTTAAAAAAAGTTTAAAAACATTTACACTTGTACTTTTTCAAGCATTCTGAATTTGAACGACGACCTTGCCAAGATTCTTTGAGCTGTGCAGCCATTCCTCTGCACGCCAGGCCTGGTCAAGGCCGAAAAACTTGCCTTCGGGCGATTTTTCACCCAAATCAATCTGCGCCTTAATTGTTCCGTTGGCGATTCCTCCAATCAGCTTGGGCAAATACTCGGGAATGTCAGTGTCCCAGTCGAAGAGAACAAAGCCATTCAGTGACTGACTCTTCATCAGTAGGCGTGTGTTCAGATCGGGAATTTCGACGCCTCGAAGGCC